TTAGACTTTTCTAAATTTTTTTTTATGCTTGTTCTCAATACATTAAAGTGTTATTATGAGGGATAATAATCATATGTGTTGGGACTTTTCAAGGAATTCATATGTGTTGAATTTTAAAGAATTTTTTTTATACTTGTTCTTAATGCATTAAAGTGTTATTATAAGGGTGAGACTTGGGGATGTCAAAGTGTGTGATCGAAACACAAGTTGATTGATTTAAAATAATGAGTTTATAATTTTAAGTGGGGTTAGTATAGATTTTGAATGTAGAGCTACATTTTTTTTAGAGGGTAGAGCATACGATTTTAAACCAATCAAAATACATGTTTTGTTCACCTCTCCTATTAATGTGAATGTTAACATGTCAATGTGAATATTCACATTGTCAACGGGCCGAGCCGGCCCGCCCCGGGCCGCGGGCGGGCTTTTGGCTGTCCATGAGCCGCGGGCCAATTTTATACTCTTATCAATGTGAATGTTAACATGTCAATGTGAATATTCACATTGTCAACGAGCCGGGCCGGGCCGAGTCGGGCCTGCCCTGGGCTGCTGTCTAGTTTTATACTCTTATCAATTCGAATGTTAATATGTCAATGTGAACATTCACATTGTCAACAGGCCGGGCCGGGCCCGCCCACAGGCCGTGGGCGAGTTTCGGGCAGCTACAAGACGCGGGCTAATTTTACACTTCTATCAATGTGAATGTTAACATGTCAATGTAAATATTCACATTGTCAACGGGCCGGGCTGGGCCCGCCCCGGGTTGCGGGCGGGCTTTTGGCAGCCCATGGGCCGCGGCCCAATTTTATACTCTTATCAATGTGAATGTTAACATGTCAATGTGAATATTCACATTGTCAACGGACCGGACCGGGCCCGCCCTGGGCCGCCCATGGGCCGCCGGCGGGTTTCACACCGCCACGGGACGGGGGCCAATTTTACACTCCTATTAATGTGAATTTTAACATGTCAATGTGAATATTCACAATGTCAACGGGCCGGGCCCGCCCTGGCTCGCCGGCGGGTTTCGGGCCGCCCACGGGCCAATTTACATTCCTACAATTGTGAATTTTAAAATATGAATGTTCACATCATTAAATTGCTAATCGTTGAAAAAATATTTATAAGGGTATCAAAATTAAATATAAGGGCATAAGTGTCCAAGAAAATAGTGTAAATCAAAAAAATGGACTTTATGGAATAAAACTATACATACATGGGACTAAATGGGTTAAAAAATTTCTTCATGGACTTCTTGGGTTAAAACACTTTTAAATTGGACTTATCAATAAAAATCCCAAATAAAATTCTAAATCGAGTATGGTCAAATATAAAGAATAATAGTATAGAGAGGATCAATCCCCCCCCCCCAAGAAAAAAAAAACACACACACACACACACACAAAACGCCTTTAAAACTTAAATTTTAACTCTTTCATTTGGTTTTTTTTTTTGGGGGGGGGGCATTTTTGAACTTTTTCAGCTCAATTTTTATTAAAAAAAAAAAACTTTGTAAGCCCTTCTCGACAAAACAATTCCAATTTTTTTTTAAAAAAAAAAAATCAGTCAATTTTGAAAAAAACAAATAATTAAAGACAAATCATTTGTCTTCTCTAAACTTTTTCAAGAAACAATCAATTTAATTTTTTATTTTTAGCTTTTTAGAAACTTTTAGTTGAAACGGATAAATTTGATTCAAGTTCAAAAAAAATCTGAAAACAAAGATAGAAATGCAAATAGAGAGTCATTGCACCTGAACAATGGTAAATCAACTATTCTCCAAAAAGCTAAAATTATTCAATAATACTATAAATTTAGACTTAATTATCTGAAAATTATTCAGAACTGTCGTCTTGTAATTCAAATTTATTCTACATATGAATCCCACGCAAAACAAATTCAATCTCAACCACATGACTCTTATTCGATATACATTCGGGATTTGTTAGATAAGGTTCATAGCATTTTTCTAAATTATTAGAAAAAAGACCCAACTAATAACAAATAAAACCAACTAGCACTAATTTAGTTGGCCAAAGTCATTGCACCTCAATAAGAGATCAATGGTTCTAGTCTCTCTCCTCCAAACTATAAACTTAAATATATCATATAAAGTAAAAAATAATAATATTTTCACATAAATTTTAAACAAAATATAAGATTATAATAATGTGACAGTGTCAATTTTTTAAAAATAATATTCTATATTAATTTTGTGAACAATTTTTTTTGTATTTGTATAGCATTAGTTTCTAAAGCTAGCTCAAAAAACGTCACTACAAAAAAATTGACTTTTTGCGACGGTAAAATACCGTCACTAATACTCCTAATGTCGTCGCTAATACTTTTTGCGACGGCAAAATGACTTTTTGCGACGGCAAGAGGGGGGTCGCAACTGCAGGGGTTGCAAAAGAGTTTTTGCGACGGTAAGTGCCGTCACTAATGTTTTGCGACGGCATTTTTTGCCTTTTTGCGACGGCACCGTGCAGTCGCTAATAACGTTTGAAATGTCTTGACTTTTTTGCGACGGCCCTATTTTACCGTCGCTAAAAATGTTATTTGAGACGGCAAAAAATACCGTCGCTAATAGTCTTTTTTTTGCAACGGCAAGTACACTGTTTTTGCGACGGGGTGGTGCTGTCGCAAAAAGTATTAAAAAATAATAAAATTTTTATTTTAAATAATAAAATTTCTATTTTTTGTGACAGTATAATGTCGTCGCAAAAAGTAAAACCTATAACAAAATTAATAAAAATATTAAAATTTTCTATTTTTTCCGACGATGGTGCCGTCTCTCTCTCTAAGAGCTGATTATTTACATTCTATTCACAAAAACATCATAACAGAAAATAAAAATAAAAATTTAAATTGATCAAACCATCAAATTCAATATTTTAGAAAGAACAATTAAACTATACATGTTCATAAAAGCATATTTAAATTATAAAATTCACCCAAATCCTAAAAAAAAATAAAATAATAAAATAAAATCTAAAATTCACCAATCAACACATTGGAAGATTCTCAAAGGGCTCCTTTCCCAATTTCCTTTCCCAATTTGATATGCCCTCAAAAGCATGTCCCGGAAGATTCTCAAAGGGCTCCTTCCAAGGATCATTCTCAGCCAAATCATAAGTAGCTCCACGGATTGCACTTTTATTGGGTCCACAAGGTCTCTTTGAAGTAAGCCTATTATATGCCGTGTTCAGCTGTCACAATAAAAAACCAGCCTTAACTAAAATAATATATATATATATATTTATCAGGAATTTAGAACAAGGATTTTTTTTTTTTTAGATAGGGAACAAGGGATTAAGCAGTGAAATAATCACTAAATAACTAAAAAAAGTCATGCTGTACAATGCAAATCAGTTTAAACTTCATTCCAATTACCAGAAGAAGCAAAAGAAAAATAGTGAAACATATCAGCAAATTGATGGAAAACATAAATCAAGCTGGGATAGCATATTGAAGAGTTGAGAGCTTACATCTATGTCACAAAACCAAAACATGTAAGCAATTGCAACAGCAGGAGCTCTCCCCAATCCAGCTGTACAGTGCACATACACTTTTCCTTTTCCCTCTGAAATGGCCCATTCCAAAGATGAAACAGCTTTAGGTAATCCACTTCTCAAGGAATCTGGGTCAAAATCTCTTGCCTTCCAATGCATAACATAAAGATGTTAAGTCAAGTGCCCAAAAGCACCAAAAAGCCTCTCTCTCTCTCTCTCTCTCTATATATATATATATATATTATATTCAACTTGGTGTGTACATAATCTAAACACATGCTTTTAGAGAAATGAAAGGTAGAAGAGAAAGTCAAAAAGATATAGAGGTAAGGTTTACAGTTGGGTAGGTATTTATCTAATGGAAAAAGGTTGGGACCCCCTTTTGGAGGACCCCCACCATCCTCAATGCATTAAGGTTGGGACCCCCTTTTTGGGAAACCCCCACCATCCTCAATGCATTATGATTGGCCAACCTTTTGTTTTTTTGTTTTTCGTTTTTTTTCCCTCCTATCTCTGGCTGACATGTGTCTGTAGGGGATTGTGGGGGTCAAAACAAAAGGGGGCCTGTATCATTTCTGTTATCTAATGAGCAAGGTTTGGGGTGTTTTGGCCAGTGATAGGTTGTGGTGGCAGGCAACATGGACAGATTTGTAACGAAAAGTATAGAGTAAGAACAAGAGAGGGAGGGGAGGGAGAAGTTCAAATGGGTAATTTTGTCTTTTTCCATTTTCCATTAAAGACATTCACATTTTCAGTTTAGTTATGAGAGCAGAGGTGCAAGTGTAGGTTTTATAAGGGCAAGGGGGGTACACGTCTTTGGGCAAACTACAAGGGGTAAAATGATTTTTCACCAATTTTGAAATAAGTAATGTGATTTTTCACCACATTGGTGTTGGATATTTTTTCATGTCAAGAAGTTTCAACATACCAATTATCATCATATGTAGAAGTGATTTCCCAACATTAACAATTTATAAGCAAATAAAACTAACTTATTTGCAAAATCATTAGTATTGAAGGTGACTTGCTTACCGGCCTTCTCATGTGACGAATTTCAAGGTCTCGACATCTTTTTATTATAGACTTCAAGTCTATTTCCCAATACTCAATGTCTCTGTCCTGCTGCAAGTTAAGAATGTAGGCAACATCTTCTTCCCTTTTCAGATGATCTATGTCTTCAGGTTTCTGAGGTTGGGAGCCCACAATCAGCTTATCAGTTATCAATGTGTAGTTCATACCTGAGTTATGATGAGATTAATTAGACCACTAAAGAGACCTTAAAATACATCACAGATACTTTCCATATATAAAATGGGTAAATAACTTGGGTAGTATTTGGTTCGCTAAAATGATTTTGAACATAAATGAAAATGGCCATTCCTTGTCCTCAGTTAAAAATAGTCAATTCTCATAAATTGTGAATGATGATTGCATTTGGAATACACAGAATGTCCATTCCATTCTAGCCTTTATTTCTAGACACTGTTTTAGTTTTGTTCATGATGGAATTAAAACAATCTCAGAAATATAAATTGGGTATGAAAATGTTGATAATCTGAAACCAGATGAAGCCTAGAATGACAAAGCAAAAACAACTAAAATTAGCAAATGGTATAGATCTAATACATGTAACTAAGATGAATCAAAGTAAGTGAACATGAATCTGAATAGATTATTCAAGAAATTCACCTCATAACAAAAATGACAAAAACCCAAAATCAATTTGGACTGGAGAAGTGAAACCCACTTGATAAATCAAATTCACCATCGCAATAAAAACAAATAAATAGAATTGAAGATATAAAAAATAAAAAAGAACAGATTTAGAGGGTGAGAAAGAAACAGACCAAGATCGTGGTGATACTCATAAGGGTTTCTCATCATCTTCTTCATAGCAATGTTGTACTCTTCCATTTTGGTTGTGGGATTTTCAGATAACATACATGAAACTTTACTAGATCTAGAGGGAGTCTTAGAAGAAACCATGATGGTATTGGACATAGATTTCATGGTAGCATTGCGCACATCGTTTGGAAGTGGAGAAGGGAAGATTGATGGAGAAACGAAGCTGCTGCCAAGAGATCAAAAACCCCCCTATATACACTCACAGATGTATATATATATATATGTGTGTGTGTGTGTGTGTATGAAAACCCCCTATATCCGAAATCCCGACAGAGAGAGAGAGAGAGATACCCTTTGAAATCGGCGGTGAGGTGAACATTTTTCAGCTGATAAAAGTCAATGGCAAGAGGAAATAGTGGAATGACGGAAGAGAATGTTACCTGGATAGAACAGAGAGAGAGAGAGAGAGAGAGAGAGAGATTACGAGCTGTGCAATGGCGAACGGCTAGGGCTCGTTTGCCCTTTCGGCTGCTCCTCCGCCGCTCGTCGTCGATCGAGAGAGAGGGGGGTAAGATGAGATTAGGGATTTTTGTGTTTGAGATTGGGGATTAAGGGCGCGGGAATGAAAAGAGAAAGGGGGAAGGGAGCGGGAATGAAAAACAAAAGGGGAAGGGAATAAAAAATAATATTTTTTTTTTGTCAAAAATGAAATTTAAATAACAAAATAATGTTGTTTAATTTTAATTTTTTATTTTTTTTTGTGACGGGGGTTGTTGTTGTCAAAAAAAAATATTTTTTGTTAAAATATATATTTTTTTGTAGTTAATGAATTTTTTTTTAAAAAAAATCTTTTTTTTTTTAGTTACGAAGATTGAAAATTTATTTGTTTCATTTTTATTTTAATGAAAAAAAAATATTATTATTTTTTATTTGGTAGAAGTAGGGGCAATATTTTAATGAAAAAAAGGTGGAAGAGAGATGGTGGTGGTGGTGGTGATAGCGAAAGAAATTAGTGGTGAAGTGGTAAAAGAGATGAGTAGTGAGAGAGAGAGAGAGAGAGAGACGAGTGAGAGACAGATAGAGGAGAGAAAACAAGATAGAGAGACAGAAACAGAGTGATGAGCGAGAGAGAGACAAAGTGGTCGCTAAAAGTGCATTTTCTTGTAGTGGAGAGCTCAGTAAATAGAGAAGCGATGAGGGAGAGAGTGAGTAATGTGAACACAATAGGGGAGAGAGACAAACAGGCAGACAGACACATAGAGAGAAAGAGAGAGAAACAAAAGAGTGAGAGACAAACAAACAGACACAGAGAGAGAAAGAAAGAGAGAAAAGTGATAAGTGAGAGAGAGATAAAGAGAGAAAGAGATATAGAGAGACAGAGAGACAAAGAGAGAAAGAGATAGAGAGAGACATATAGAAAAATAGAGAAAAACAAGAGATGAGAGAGACATATAGAAAGAAAGCGAAAAGAGATGAACGAGAGAGAGAATAGAAAATAGAGAGATAGAGAGAAGAGAGATGAGCGAGAGAAACAGAGAGAAAAAAAAGAGATGAGCGAGAGAGACAGAGAGAGAAAAGAGATGAGAGAGATAGAGAGAAGAGAGATGAGCGAGAGAGACATAGAGAGAAGACAAATGAGAGAGATAGAAAGAAGAAAGATGAACGAAAGATACACAGACAGACAGACAAACAGACAGATAGACAAACAGACAGAGAAAGAAGAGTGATGAGTGAAAGAGAGAAAGATAAGAGTGGTGGTAGTTAAATGGCATTTGCAGTAGTGGTAAATGTGGTAGAGAAGATGGGTGGTGAGAAAGAGAGATGAGTGAGAGACGAATAGAGAAAAAAGATAGAGAGACAGAATGATGAGCGAGAAAGAGACAAAGTGGTCACTAAAAATGCATTTTCTTGTAGTGGATCGATAAATCGAAAGGGAGCTCAATAAATAAAGAAGACAGATAATTCAAAACTCTTTTCAAAACTTAATTCAAATCAATTTTTTAAATATTTTAAAAATATTTTAATTTTGTGAGAGACAGATAAAGAAGAGAGATAGAGAGAGAAACAGAGATAGAGTGATGAGCGAGAGAGAGAGAGATAGACAAAGTGGTTGCTAAAAGTGTATTTTCTTATAGTGGATAGATAAATCGAGAAAGAGCTCGATAAATAGAGAAGATGGGAGTAAGAGAGTGAACAAGGCGAACATAGTGAGGGAGAAATAGACAAATAGACAAGTAGACAGAGAGAGAGTGAGAGAAGAGTGATGAGTGAGAGAGAGACAGGAAGAGAGAGACAGACAGAAAAAGAGATAGAGAGAGAGATGGAGAGATAGAAAAAGAGAGAGAAACAAGAGATAAGCGAGAAATAGACAAAAAGAAAGAGAAATAGAGCGAAAAGAGATGAGCGAGCGAGAGACACAGAAAAAGAGAGAGACAGAAAGAGAAGAGAAATGAGCGAGAGAAATAGAGAGAGATAGAAAGATAAGAGAGAGAGAGAAAAAAAAGAAATGAGAGAGATAGAGAGAAGAGAGATAGGCGAGAGACACAGAGAGAATGAGAGAGAGAAACAGGCAGACATAGAAAGAAGAGTGATAAGTGAAAGAGATAAAGAGAAGAGAGAGAGAGATAGAGACAGAGAGACGGGAAGATGAAAAAATGAATGAAAAGAGAAATGGTATATCAAAAGAGTAAGACGACATTGTTTTTTTTTAATTTCTTTTGCGACAGAAAAATACTGTTGAATTTATTCAAACCATTTTGTGACTGTATATATATGAAGCTATCTCAAAACCACAATCACTATGCTAGGTTAGAGATTTTCAAAAACTCTTTTGAGAAAATTAAACTTTCTTGTTTTCCGTGTTATATTGTTTTTACTGAATTTTTTAAATATTTTAAGTATTTTTTAAAATTTGTAGACACACCTAACATAAATACACCTAAAAAAAAAACACGAAAGTCACTTTTTGCGACGGCAGAAAATGCCGTCTCAAAAAAGCAGAGTATTTGCGACGGCACCATTTACCGTCTCAAAAAAACAGAGCATTTGCGACGGCACTATTTGCCGTCTCAAAAAATGAGAGTATTTGCGACGGTATTTAGTGCCGTCGCAAATGCTCTGCTTTTTTGAGACGGCAAATGATGCCGTCGCAAATACTCTGCTTTTTTTAGACGGCATTTTCTGCCGTCGCAACAAGTGACTTTTTAAGACGACAAGTGTGCCGTCGCAAATAGTTCCGTCTCATATACCCAGTTTTCTTGTAGTGCGTGTGAAGTGTGTGTGAACAAAAAATACAAGCCCAGAAACTTACTTGTCCATTATCATCTGACCAAGGATTCCAAGGTTTGATTACTTTAAGGTTTAACGCATCTATGGAATATCGAGTGGCAGTCGCCGGAACCACTGCATCCACGTCCCCACTGAAAAATAAAAAATAAAAAAAATTCAAACGTTTATTTAAGAGATGAAAAATTTATAACTGAAAAATGATACGCAAATAAAATTTTTATATAAAAACTCAACAAAGTGATGTGACATTAGTATTGTTAAAATTATAAATTAAGTCGTGGTTTGAAATTAAAATACTATAAATTATATATATGGAAATTTTATTTGCAAATATGGATTTACTCAAATAAATAAATATCTAAAATTATTGCACTAAACCCTTTTAGTTTATTGATAGATAATAAAACATAAGAGTGGTACGTCTGTTTCAAAATCTGGCTTTTATCTCAAAACAAACACAGCTGTCAGATTATATAAAAATCTTAAATTATAAGAATTATGAAACATGATTTAATAACTGTGAGTATTTTGAAACAAATAGATAGAGAAATTTTTCGTAGTAATCCATGCTGTGGTTTAATTTAAGCTTGGCATGGAAATGCAAATTAGTGTTGATAATTGTTAGACCACTAATGTAAGAAAAAAGAGGTTGAAGTACCTACCTGAAAAGAAGAATTGAAGCCCAGAGGCAATGAGCCTTCTATATATGGGGAACATGCTTGATAGACTATCCTTCCAATTACTAATCACCCCACTGCGTGTGTGAGAGAGAGAATCAATCAGTGAACGCGTATTTTAATGTCATTTAATTTTACTTTTAATTCAAACTGTTAAATTATATACTTTGTAATGTGTGATGATAAAAAGTATAAAATTATTAGCCAAGTTAATTAAAATATTCTAATAGTGCACATCTTGAAAAAATCGTCATTTTTTAAAATTACAAAGAATACAAGGTTAACCATTGTTTAAGCAAGTTAGGCGCTCACTTAAGAATCTTAATTTTCAAAACTCTCAAGTTTTTATTCTCTTTAATATTTGTATAAGATCCAATAAAATAAATAAATAAATTTCTTATCTAGAAGTTCAGAAAAATTAAAATTATCCAAGACTCATCAAAAAAATTTAATAATTAAAAGTACTCATTTTTTTCAAATACCTATCAAAAACAATTTCTTTGTCCAAATGTCTAACAAAATAATAACTCCTCTTGCCAGTAGATAAAGGTGGAAAAGCCTATCTTAATTACTCAAGTTGATTTCCAATAAAAACAAATGTTAAAAAAAATTATAATATAAAAATAATATTAAATTATATAAAGAGAAAATTGGTGCAACGTTCAATTTGAAGAGAATATAAGGTTATAGATCTAAGGTAAAATCTTATTCGTTGATAAGGGCATGCCGAAAAAATCATTAAACAAGTCGCCAGCAGCTGACAGTGGTAGTGAGATAAAGAAATGTATGATATTTAACAGATAGAGTGGTGAATGATTAACATATGTCACATGTCAACAAATAGATAGTGAATTTATTTGTTTTGTCTTTAGCGAGTTTTTTTTTTATATTTTAATCAAATATCTTTACTTTTTAAATGCACCTAATTTAGATGCACTTAAAAAGTAAAATAGTTGAAAATCTTTTTCTTTTTTTTTTAACTAAATACAGTAAAATATCAAAATTTACTGAGTCTTTTTGTATTTTTTTATTTATTTTTGTTCTTTTTCATATTTAGTGATTTTTTCATATTTAAATTCCATCACAAATATTTTACATTTTATATATGAAGTAGATTAAAAAATAAAAAATACTAAATCACAAATTTAAAAAAAAATAATACAAAAAAAAAAAATCAAAAATAGTTATTGAGTTTCAAAATCAAACAGATTCAGATTAGTTGATCCATTGAGTCGGATACAGAGTCATAAAAAATAAAAATAAAAAAGTTGGATGTAGACCTGCAAGTTTTCCAAGTGTAGGGGAGTTGAGTAGTGTTGGCATGCAAAGCTTTCTGAACTTGAGGAAGATTGAGATATCTCTGAACATAAGCTTCTTCACAGGGACCACACCTTCCTCCTCTGCTGCGTTTACCATTTTTTTTGGATGAGTTTGAGGTAATAATGTCCAAACACAGTGGGGCATAGATTTTGTAATAATCTATGTTACCAATCTCTGAGTACTTTGGGGTGTAATTTTAGGAAGGCAAGCAGTGGTGTATGAGTCCGCTATGAGTTTCGTCTGATATCAATGCGTGGCTCCATATCTAATCGTACGTTCCTCTCGCATCTGTTTCATCATTCATTATCCCATTTCCTATCTACATATATATATACCACAAGAAAAACAAAGGGAAAATTACATATAAGTGGAAAGTTTACAAAATATTTACATATTAATGAAAAAGTTTATAAATTTAATTATTAATATTTAAAAGATTTTTCATTGATTTGAATTTTTTTTTTTTTTTTAAAAAAAAAACTACACTGACGTGTAGTTTCCCCAAAAACAAATGGTTAGTTATAATAAATCTAAAATAAAAAAACTACACTGACGTGTAGTTTCCCCAAAAACAAATGGTTAGTTATAATAAATCTAAAATTCCAAAACCAAAACATCACATCATTAATGGCGGGACCCACTGCCACCTAATTAGTGGGAGCACTAATTAGTGCTCCCAAGCATTTTTCTATAAGTGTGCCATAGACTTATTGATTATTAGCATTAATGCAACATGAAAAATAATTAGGACAGATTCTGCAAATGGTCCTTGTAATTTACCCGTTTTATTATTTTGTTTTTTGTTATTTTAATTTGATCAATTTTGCCCCTGAATTTTATGGATTGTATCATGTTAGTCCAATAAATAACGGCGGTTAAGTTTGATGGATGGAAAATCAAATAATGTATCAATTTGGTCCCTGTAATTTATAGGAAAGTCAAAACAATAGGGGCTAAATTAACATATCCTATAAACTAAAGGAACTAAATTGACACATCATTTGATTTTCCGTCTATCAAACTTAACCGTCGTTATTTATTGGACTAATATGACACAATCCATAAAATTCAGGGGCAAAATTGATCAAATTAAAACAACAGAGACCAAAATGATAAAACGGTAAACTACAGGGACTACCTCTGTAATTTGTCCAAATAATTATTGATTATAGGGCAAATTACACTAACAGTCTCTATAGTTTGAGGCTTGTATCACTTTGGTTTCTGACTTTTCAATTGTAACACATTTGACCATGAATTTTGAACCTTATTCTAAACAAGGACAATTGATTATACCATTGTCCAATTTCCAGGGCAAAATCATCAATTTGATAAAAATATAAACTAAATTGACAAAAATAATGTCAAAAAAATATTTTTGAATTTTTAAAAATTATTTCTACCCACAAAAATAAAATTATGTAAAATTGATAAATCTTTTACACATTTATTTATTTTACCAAATTAATTTTTATTATATGTTTGGATGATAACCACGTAATAGATGGTTATTAAACTTTTAATGTGTAATTGATATAATATATGAAATGTTTTTAGTTTTAGATTTTTTGATTTAATGGATTGGTTTAATAATGATACCAAAATTGTCGCTATATTTAACCTTTGGAAAAATAGAAACTAATTTAATGAAAATAAAAACAACCGCCCATTAGGTGATCATCAACCAAACACATAATAAAAATTAATTTGATAAAATAAATAAATAAATGTGTAAAAGATTTATCAATTTTACATAATTTTTTCTTTGATGAGTAAAAATAATATTTAAAATTTAAAAATATTTTTTTGACATTTATTTTTATCAAGTTAGTTTATATTTTATCAAATTAATGATTTTGCCATTGAAATTGAGCAATGGTATATTCAATTTTCCTTATTTGGAGCAAGATTCAAAATTCAGGATCAAATGTGCCACAATTAAAAAGTTAAGGGTTAAAGTGACACGAGTCCCAAACTATAGGAACTGTTAGTGTAATTAACCCTTGATTATATTTGTATTCAGTTTTATTCTTAAAATCATATTTATTATTTATTTTTTCATATACAAACATGGTTTGATGAAATAACTATCGATATTCAATCAATTTGATTTTGACAAATATATTATACTCAATGTATCTTAAAAAATAAACAATTAAAATCATTAAAATAGGACACCAAATGAGTTTCAATAGCTACATGCCTATTGTGCGAAGTGCACAGGAACCACTTTGAGTCCATACCCCTACACAATTTGCTAATTATCAAAAGATTGTATTACTAGGTAATGTGACTCTTTACCATTATTCCCTTAAGTTGGATGGTGGAGGTAGGGTCTGCCTTTTTGTTTCTCTTGATAATGGTATCTGCCGATTCTGGAATGTAAAATTCTATAAAATAAAAATAAAACTCTTAACAATATCAATAAATATAAGAACATAATTTTTATTTTGGATTATAGTGTTAATAACACTGCTTTTAGCTTGAATGGGTCCACAATTTACCCATGCATCAATTCCAGAAATTTTCCAAGTTGCTAACATTTTTGTAAGAAAATTATTCATGCGTTGGATGGCAGCACCAAGATATACACATAATGATGATAACAAGGGAACCCTTGATTAAAGTGGCATGTATGCCCATGCCATGTTAAACGTATTGAGAGACCAAATCCTGATTCCTGTTGTCCCAATACAATAATACTCAAAGTAGGCCCAATTAGAGGACAATTCATATTTCTTTAGGTTAATTTTATTTTTGCTTCTCTAACTACGGGTCTTACGGCGTTTTAGTCTCCAATAATTAATTTCTATCACTTTGATTTTTAATGTATAAAAGTGTTTTCCTTAAAAAAAATGACTTAGATCCCCACTGGAGGTGACCCCCACCACCCCAGTGAATGCTGATTGGCCCAAATTTATTTATTTATTTATTTATTATTTTTATTTTATTTTTTTTTGTTCTCCTCTCTTTGACCCCACGTGTATGTGGGGGTGGTGGGGGTCTCTATCAGTTTTGTTTACTTAATACTTAAATTGTGTCAATTTAATCCTCAATATATAAAAAGTTTTTCAATTTCAATTTAGTCCTCCCAAATCCCAATCTAATTCTATTAATAGGCATAATTTAAACATTTAAGGGACTAAAATTAAAACACTTTCCATACATTGGGAACTAGATTGACACAATTTTTTAACATTAAAAACCAAATTAAAATATTTTATACATTGGAACCAAATTGGCACAATTTGAACGTTGGGAACTAAAATAACACAAGATTCTTACTTTTGGGGCAAAAAATTTAATTAACCCTAATTTTTTATATGTTTGTTTTATTCTAATTCCTTGTAATTATGCTTGTAAGTACCTGCATAGCTTTCACCGGTTATATAGAAGTCTCTGGCCTTGTAATGCGGGTATCTTTTAAACCAATTTATGAGGAACACACATGCATCATGAGCTGAAAAACATATAGTGTACAAATGAGATCATATAACAGAAAATTGTTCTTGCTTCATGCAACAATGTTACAGAGGACATTCACACCTGCAAGCAAAAGGTTTTTCCTGATTCATTCCTCCATAAATTGTTAAAGGCAAAACGAGACATTTTGCTAGGAATGACTCTAGAGAGCTTCAATTTTGCCTAGACAACACTTTTTCAGTTTTTGCAGTTATACTTTTCATTAGAGATTATAATCAACACTAATTGATTGCGTGAATGCCTTTTTTGATATTGTTGCATGTAGCAATGAATAATTTCTCCAGTGTGTTTGTGTCAGTGTATGCATGACTAGGTGTAGGAATGGAGGAAGGTTTGTCAGTAATTTTACCAGTCCTTTTATCTCCTGACATGTCGTAATCAGAGGTAGTGTTAGAGTAGGAGAATCCAACGCCTACTGGGGACTCTAAAAATAATATATTTGCAATTGCAAAATTTATGAGCACAAAGACTCTAATTCAGTTAAATAAATATACATGCGTCGATAAATAAGTAATTCAATAATTAATGTAATAATTATCAATTTTTGTATTAAATTTACTTATTATTTCAAGGGAGACTTATTTATAAGTCCTTTTGAAGACATTTATGCTAGGCTAAGTCCTGTGTAATTTCTTATAGAGTCTCAAGTCCTATTTAGATAGGAATGTATTCCACAAGATTCTACATAAACGTAATGTGACGTGACACTTATATAAACGTAACGTAACGTGACACCTACATAAACGTAACGTGACACATAAACGTAACGTGACACCTACATAAACGTAACGTAACGTGTCACGTTACATTTCGCAAACTTAATGAGTTTTTATTTTTTAAAATTGAATGTGAAAATGTTGTTGGTTTATCTTGGTGTCACGTTATGTTTCATATAAATATGATCTATGGCAACATTCAGGTGTCACATTACGTTTATGCAGGTGTCACGTTACGTTACGTTTATATAGATATGATCTATGACAACATTTATTGAATGTTGCCATAGATCATAAGTGTCACGTTACTTTTATGTAGGTGACACGTTACGTTTATGTAGATGTCACGTTACGTACAGGTGTCACATTACGTTTATGTAGGTGTCACATTACGTTACGTTTATATAGATATGATCTATGACAACATTTATTGAATGTTGCCATAGATCATAAGTGTCACGTTACTTTTATGTAGGTGACACGTTACGTTTATGTAGATGTCACGTTACGTACAGGTGTCACATTACGTTTATGTAGGTGTCACATTACGTTACGTTTATATAGATATGATCTATGACAACATTTATTGAATGTTGCCATAGATCATAAGTGTCACATTACTTTTATGTAGGTGACACGTTACGTTTATGTAGATGTCACGTTACGTACAGGTGTCACATTACGTTTATGTAGGTGTCACATTACGTTACGTTTATATAGATATGATCTATGACAACATTTATTGAATGTTGCCATAGATCATAAGTGTCACATTACTTTTATGTAGGTGACACGTTACGTTTATGTAGATGTCACGTTACGTACAGGTGTCACATTACGTTTATGTAGGTGTCACATTACGTTACGTTTATATAGATATGATCTATGACAACATTTATTGAATGTTGCCATAGATCATAAGTGTCACATTACTTTTATGTAGGTGACACGTTACGTTTATGTAGATGTCACGTTACGTACAGGTGTCACATTACGTTTATGTAGGTGTCACATTACGTTACGTTTATATAGATATGATCTATGACAACATTTATTGAATGTTGCCATAGATCATAAGTGTCACATTACTTTTATGTAGGTGACACGTTACGTTTATGTAGATGTCACGTTACGTACAGGTGTCACATTACGTTTATGTAGGTGTCACATTACGTTACGTTTATATAGATATGATCTGTGATAACATTCAATTTCCTATATATGGTTTTATTATTATTTATGATATTAACAACTAATATTGAGAGTAAATGTATCAACAAACTTCTCACAAAACTTATAGGAACATAAATTTTTTAATAAGATCATATGCAACATAAGTCTCCCTAATAGGACTTATAAATAATTTTTTCTTATTTTTCAAAGTGTTACTACTACATTGAGAGCCACATATAAAAAAACGGAAGAGCCTTTCCTATACTGTCAGACATTTGGAATGGAGGACTTAGTTGAAGGCGTTGTGTTATGAACTCATACCAAGCACACTTGATGATTCAGATCATTGGTATTTTAGTACTTATTTAATACTAAATTTCTATGTAAAAAATCAAAATGAATAAATATCTATAATCACATATTTTTTTTAAAATAGATAGTCTATTCTCGAAATTTTTATTGTCCTTTTTTAAAGTCAAGCATAATTCAATTAAATGACTGTTAATATCCGAATTGCCTCGACGTTTGGGAATTGATAGTTGGCTTGTAAGGCTTGGATTGCTGCAAAGGAAACAGGAAAATCGGTTAGTTGCAGAGTAAAGAATTAGACCAACCGAGCAAGGTGAGCGGCTTACATGAAGAACCGAAGCTTTTGTTTATAAACCAGCCCGGTACCTCGGCTGTTTCGTAGTAACCGGACACCCAGAAAAAATCGTCGTCGTGCATGTCTTTATCCGGGGTGCCGGTTATGATCTTTTCCTTGCCCGGTCTTATTTTCAAGTAGTAAGCTAGGCCGTCACCGGTGTGGCCCATTGTGTATTGCCTCAATATCTCGGCTAGGCCTAAGTTGGCGCCCAGCC